CCGGCCGAGACGAAAAAAAAAAAAAAAAAAAAAAAAAAAAAAAAAAAAAAAAAAAAAAAAAAAAAAAAAAAAAAAAAAAANAAAAAAAAAAAAAAAAAAAAAACCAACTAATTTTCTATGTTACCAGTTGTTCGATGGGGATACGTTTCCCCCGAACGTCTCCGGGAGACGGTTAGGGGGGAGTTGTCCGGAAAATCGGACAACTGTCCCCCCCCCCCCAAAAAATAAAAATAAAAATAAAAAATGGGGGGGGTTTGCGCACCACTAGGGGACCCCCCAAAAACCATTTCAGGTTGTTCTGAGCAAAAACAAAAAAACAAAATTAGATATGGTCGGGGAGGTGTGATGGTGATCCTTCCCGACATTTGTGTGTTTCCCCAGGGAAAAACACACACAAATGCACTCTCTACACACACAAACACAGACTGTTCTGAGCAAAAACATTCACACACAGATGCACTCTCTACACACAGACATTTCCCTGTCTGTGTGTGATGAGAGCGTCTGTGTGTGTAGAGAGTGCATCTCTACTTTTTCCCTGGGAGATGTCTGTGTATGTAGAGAGTGCATCTCTACTTTTTCCCTGGGAGATGTCTGTGTGTGTAGAAAGTGCATCTGTGTGTGTTTCAACCTGAAAATTTTTCCCGGGGGAAACACACACAGATGCACTCTCTACACACACAGACATCTCCCTGTTTGTGTTTTCGCTCAGAACAGCCTGAAACACACACAGATGCACTCTCTACGCACACAGACATTTGTGTATGTTTCCCCGGGGAATATTCAGATATGGTTTCCTTCCCATTGGGGAAACACATACAGATGCACTCTCTACACACACAAACACACACCGACACCCACGCACACACACACTCACTCACACTGGGAAGGAAACAGTAGCAAGGCCAAGGCAAAAAGTTGTTCATTTTATTTTTTTGCATAACATAGTTTTATTTTTTATTTTAAAATTTAAATTTTATAAATAATTTTGTTTATTTTTTATTTTAAAATTAAAAAAGAATTTCGATGTAACCACAAGGCAAACATTGTTCAGTATATTTTTCTGCATAACATAGTTTTTTTTCGAAAGTTTTTTAGGGTTTTTTTTTTTTTTTTTTTTTGGCCATTCGGGCTTCGGACAGACTGTCCGGGGGGCCGTCCGACCAGTTGTCCGATCGGACAACCCCGGACGGTCAGGGGGTCCCGGACGTCCGATCTGGTAACCTAGCTAATTTTTATTTAAAATTTGGTAAAGAATTTTGATGTGCCCCTGAGCCAAAGGTTGTTCAGTTTATTTTTCTGCATAACATAGTTTTTGTTTTTAAATTTTTTTATTTGTTTTTTTTTTCTTTGCTATGACCTTCCTGAGTCCTTGCATGGTTGGGCCGTCTGGGAAAATAGGGTGACCCGGGCAGCCCAACTGGTAACGTAGTAAATTTGGTAAAAACTTTCAATTTGACCCTGAGGCAAAAATTATTTAGTTTATTTTTCTGCATACCATAACTTGTTTTCAAAAATTTTGGATTTTTTTTTTTCTGTGCTCTTTTTGTCGAGAGCCTAAGACCTTTTTTGGTCCTTGTAGGGTCGGACAGCCAGGACAAACAACTTAAAGCAGGTGGCCTGGTTGGTAGCCTTTAATTCTATTTTATTTTTTCGTTGAGCAAGTGACTATGGGTGACTCATGTGACCTCAACTAAATAGCTTTTTTTGCTTGTTTTTTCTAGGGAGATATCTCGGGCGCCCAGGTGCCGCTGTCACGCCCGGATTGGCGACCGGGTGACTGGCCGGATATGACACGCGGGCATGGCCCCGGGCATCCCCAACGCAAAAAAATAATAAGAATAATAAAATAAAATCCACAAAAATTTAAAAAACATTATGTTGTGTAGAATTGCAATACAAACAACTTTTGGCTGAGGGTCATATAATTTTTTTTTTAAAGACCTAAAGATTAAAAAAAAAAAAACCATATCACACTAAGGCTCTTTAAACCCCTTTAGCCCCTTTAAAATTCATTTACACTCCCGTTTCTCCCCCTTGACAGCTATCACTAAAAAAACGAAAAGACCCCGGATTTGGCCTCCTCTCGGAAAGCATGAAAAAATCTCGCCGCCTTTTTTTTTTTTTTTTTTTGCCATGACTGGGTCACCCGAGCGCCAGACCCCCTCCAGCGTCACGCCTGGGTGACTGGCCGGTCATAAAAATCTTCCTAGTATTTTTTCGCTTTTATTCTTTGTTATGTACAATCGACTGATTGTGAGTACTAACTTATAGATATTTCAAACATATTTAAACCACTGGTCCAAATGCCCTGTCACTATAGACTTTTTTTTTTAAATGAATCTCGTAGCAAAGTCTCCAATGATCGGGTTTGACTTAGGTATGAAGGAAAGAGGGGTGGACCCGAAAGATCTATTAAAATCATAATAAAATAAAAAAGGTTGGGTTACACTAGTCACTGAATAAAAACGAGAGACTTTTGCCTCACTAGTGTAAAAAAACAAAACCAAAAGCAAAAAAAAAAAAAAAGGTCGTAGATTTCAACCTAATCATGGTTAGATGCATTATGGAAAGTACTATTGTGAGCATACCCTCAGTGAAGGTTTTCCCATGACACATTGCACTAAAAAGTGCAAATAAAAATAATTGGTAGTAGTAGCCGTCAAATTTATTTCAGGAAGTGTTGATGTGAGTATGTCCTCAGTAAGGGCGTTTCTAAAAAATACGGAATGCGTCGGGCGTCATTGACAAGGCATTATGAAAAAACAAAAAAAAATAAAAACAAAGATAGATTTGACAGTAAAAATCGTCAAATATATCAAGGAGTTACTAAGTTTATGAGGACCTTTGCTGACATCATTATTATCGACTTGGATATTATTATTATGTTTTTTTACCTTTTAGATATTTTAAACATATCTCAATCACTAATTCAAATGCCCTGTCACTGTAGATTTGTTTTATGAAATGAATCTTGTAGCAAAATCTACAGTGATCATGCAAGACTTAGGTTGAGAAGGAAAGGGGGGAGGACCAAAAAAATCTATTAAAAAAAAAACAAAAAAAAACAAGGTTGGATTACACTATTTACTTAAGAACACAGAGAGATTCATGCCTCGTTGGTGTAAAGAAACAAAAGAAAAAGCAAAAAAAAATAAATAAATATATATACATGGTTACCAGCCCGTGCGTACGGAGGCCTCCGGGCCAACCTCCGTACGTTCGGGCGTTCGGGCTCACGTTCGGGGGCCGAACGTGTCTATAGGGGGGCCCGGCCGTTCGGGCGTTCGGGTTCGGGCGTTCGGCCTGTCCCGAACGCCGATTACCCTGTATATATATATAGAGAGAGAGTGGGTCACCAGCCCGTACGTACGGAGGTCCTCGGGCAGACCTCCGTACGTACGGGCGTTCGGGGTCCCGTACGGGGTCCGAACCCGACGGCGTTTGGTCCCTGCCAAAAATTATTTCGGGACCTAAAAATAATTATTGTTTTCTGAATTTGTTTTGTGAGTTTTCTATGACCTGAGGTACATGCCTGTAAATTTTCAAGTCATTTGGCTAAGCCAAATAAGAATTAAAAATCGCCAAAGATGGCGGTGTCAAAACGTGCTCGCCCACGTATTTGTTCACTTTTTACTTTTTGTTTTCACTTTAATTCCGGGTCGAAAACATTTTATTAATTTTTGAAACTTTCTTAGTGGGTTTTGTGTTATGTGAATTACACATCTGTAAAATTTTAGGGCATTTAGCTATGCCAAGAAAATATGAAAAATTGCCAAAGATGACGGTGTCGAAAACATGCTCGCGCACTCACTAAATTTAATTATCTTTTTATTTTTATTTATTTTTATTATTAGTATTTATTTTTTGTATTTTATTTTTATGTAAAATCTAGTAAGAAAATTGGATGTAATGCTCTGACAAATCTTGTTTAATTTATTTTTCTCCATAACATATCTTT